AGTGACGCATCTAACCTTGCAAGGAGTGCATAAAATCACGATTCTGTGTGCTTGAGATAGTTGGAGATCGTTCCCGGCGCCAGAATAGCAGTTTTCATTTTTCCCCATTGACTTATAATGGTGAGGTCACGAAAATGACCTGACCTCATATGACCTTTAGGAAAAATCCGAGATATACAAGTTGTGGGACACATAATGGATACTAGATCCTGCAAGTTTCATTTCCCTGTGACATCTCCTCTGGCAGTGAGGGCGTTGCGAAGTTGCGACATCTGAAGACCGTGCAGAGGTTCACTTATGACGTCATAGGTCAGTGACCTGACCTGACCCAAAAATGCAGTTGGTGTCAAAAGATGCGGCTTGGATCAAAGGTCAAGTATGCCAAGTTTCAGCTCTCTATCGCCAGCGTGTTCGGAGCTATCGCGAAAAAACCCTATGGGGGGCGGCACCCGCCCCCCCCCCCCTCGGCCGGCGAGGGTTAAAACACCGATAGGCACCTCAGTGAAGCGAATGCCGGCCTATACCACCGATAAGCGCCCCGGATGAATAAATACCACCCGTCAACACCGATAGGCGCCTCAGTGAAATTAATGCCGCCCCAATCTCCGATATGCGCCCCAGGTGATACATGTCGCCCATCAACACCAACGGGCGCCCCATTGAAATGAATACCGCCCTTCAACACTGGCAGACGCCCCAGTGGAATGAATGCCGCCCCACAATGCCGATGGCCGTCCCTGCACTGGAAAATCAGTTTCGCCCCTATACAGGCGCCCATAGAAGTTTGCAGAGTGCTATTCCTGGTCATAGTCATCTCCCCAGTAAAAAAAAAAAAAAAAAACGCAAAATACGCCCTAGCACTAGGGGTGTAACCGCCCATACGGACAGTGCAATTTTACAGGCCCCAATCTCGGACCTCCCTTAACATTCATATGTTGTAAACGGCAAACCGCCCCCAATAAATGTTACACAAACTAATTTCCTCTCGCATATCGGCCATCAGGCGCCACTTTTTGTCGCATGGAGCCTGCAACGCTATAAGCTCTCATATGTTCGTGTTGGCGTTCGGAGGCTATTGCCTTCAAAGACGTCTCCATAAATGTTTCTTTTTCGTCCCACACACAGGCGCCCCTCTTTCGCATGCAGGCGCCCCTCTTCCGCATGGCGCGCTTCTCGAGTGGCTGCGCCCTCCTAGCCTTTATCGCCTGGCAAGATTACATTCGACAGGGTCGGCAGCATCTGCCTTTGTTTCAGATAAGGATGCCCTCCACTCTTCAGCATATCAAAAGATACTTTTCCCACGTCATTGCCACCCTCTTCGTGTCACAAGTGCCTTTATCAGTTGCGGTGTCGCACTGCTCAGCTTTATGGCTGCCGCACCTCTTAACTTCCTGCCTTCTCTACAGATTTTCGAGGCGCCCCTTTCCATAGCTTTAGGGTGCAGCTGCCCCCCTTGCCCCCCTGCTTCCGCCGCCACTGTATCTGCTCGGGTCCCACCAGCACCTACAGTCGGGCAAGGGTTTCTTAAAGTGAATCGCGTTCACTGCGATATAACTGACGGAAATTTTCGTATGTCTTTAACGTTTGTTTTCTCATTCTTATTGTGTAGTTATGCACGATGAAGAATTGCTAGGTTTCCCGAATATCATCGCTGAGATGTTAAATCAAATGTACCGAGCCGTACCGGAAGTGTCTAAACGGTCGCTGGGCTGGGCTTGTAGTGGGCCGGGCCGGTCTGATCTGAAATTACAGCCCGACGCTCCTCTAGTGTCGGAAAGGGACTGGGCCACTGGCAGACCCGATTTGGTGTGATTTTTTAGCATGATCTCTGATGATTGTGATTAACATTAGTTTCTATATGGACTAGAACGGTGTGTCATGAAACTGTTTTACGCGTTGAATGGTAGACTGGATTAATCATGGTGAACTGCAGTTTCAATAGTTCGTCCGGATTCGACCGTTGATCGTCTCTAATGTCAACTTGCTCTTTCATTGGCTAGCGCTGTCGGTCCAAATATTACACTGTATGTCTCGGCAATGATTTTTCCCTCCTGATTACCCACGTACATCTTACTTCTTATGCAACTTTGTTTATTTTCAGATTGTGTTACTGACCATCCCGCCGAGTAAATACTCCACCATCATATTTCGGATCCACCTGAACTTTATGAACGGCGCCGTCCTGGCACTGCTGTTCCCCGTCACCAACACACGCCTGGTGAGTGGCTAATTTACTGGCTAATTTACTCCCCTCCGCTACTTTAGGCCTCTCCCAACCACCCCTCTGTCCTCCCACCCCACGAGCATGGCATCCGACACTTACCTCCCCTCCCTTCCCCTCCCTGCCAGTCATTGGCCCCTCACTGGCACCCTGCCCTCCCCTCCCTCCCACCACTCAGCTGTGGTGCCGCTCCATACGACACGTTTAATGCCCTCCCACCCCACCCCCTCCCCCTCCGTATGGCGCGTGGTTCGTGCCTCGTCGCCCCGCGGTCTGTTGTTACCAGGCGAGTAACGTCCCATACACTATTGGTCCCGGCCAACTATCGATTTTTACTGGGTAACCGCTAGAGATGCCACTTTTGAACCCGCGAACCCGCTTTCTGCGGGTTTTCAAAACCCGCAGGGTTTTTGGCGGGTTTGAGAAGCAAAACTTGTCATGTGGCGGGTATTTGGCGGTCAGACTTAAGAACCTATAATTTTTATTTTTTGATTTTTTTTTAGATGCAAAACACAATGCCAAGTGCATTTGCTCAGGTTAACAATACAATATTCATCAAAACAACTTTTAAAACAGAACCAAATATAAAAATATATCAAGGAAGCACATTTCAAATGCAAAACTGAAAACAACCAGCAATAGCATCCACAGTCTAGCAATGACCAAACCAGGGTACAAGCAACAAACTACAAAGCATAAATAAATGCTGATGAAAACATTCCATAAAACATAAAAGAACCTGAAGGCAAACTTATAGGAAGCTGAACTGAAGTCTATGTGCAGTGTGCACTAGATATACATTATGGAAGAACCCAGAAGAGATGTTGAAAATCAGAGCAAATGCCACATGTTACTTTATTTGCGTCTGGTCGGCATAAAAAGAGCTATCAGCTAAACAAAATTTGATGCAAATTCACTGATTACCTATCCTACTCTATGTTCTGTTCCACCCTATATTACGAAAATAACACACCAATTACCCTTACAAAAAATCAAAATATTGACTGGCATGCGGCCCAAACATAACGCAATACAATACTGGCGCACTTCCGACATTCTGACAAGGATTGGCATTTGACTGCGTCAATTTTGGTCTCTGAGGCGAAGGAAAGCTGTCATTGATGACGCAATAATTTTACAATCAATTTTTCTGTCTTGGTTTTTGAATACCTCAAAATAGCAGTTATACATGTTACAAAACCACGTAGCTGGTCGCATTTATTTGTAAAATAATTTTATCAGAATGGCACATGGAGATGCATTATACAACGGTGTTTTCGCAACAAGTTCGCACTAACTACGGCCGCAATAATTTAGTCGCTGTAACGTTCCTTGCAATCAGCTGTTGGTGACGCTTCTGACGCATGTTTCCAGAAATGCGTGGTTCATTGGTGGTTAGTTGTTTTGCTGGGATTTTGCATGATTTTGATTTGTTTTATGTGTAGATCGACTGGATACTCATTATTCACCGTGTCACTATTTATTTTTAACTGGAAATCGCATATCTTTTTATATCAACATTCATTTTGATAACAATATCATTCCAGAAGCCTAACATTGAGAGGGAGCCAGAGTGAAATTTTGATCCTCAGCCAATGCTGAAGGGTAAGGTGAGAGAAAGATTTTACTGAACTCTTTTCAGAAAGGAATTTCAAATGTATTGATGCATTATTCATTGTCCACTATCCAGTGTGCACTTCCTGAGGACTTAGCATAGCAATTTCAAGTCCTTATTATTTGTTTGGCTGTCTTTTTCTGCACAGCAATGAAGCAAGTAAGGTTTATATAGCTCTAGCATTGACCCAGATGTATTTTTTCTTGCAAAAGCAGGTTTTTAAAATTGCGGGTTTTTTGCGGGTTCGGCCCAGCCAAAATCAGCTTGCGGGTAGTTGTGGTTGGGCAAGGGGTAGCTGCGGGGCGGGGCGGGTAATGAAATTGCAAATTTTTGGCATCTCTAGTCCGAATGGTATCGCTCGTTTAGTCACCAGCATTTTATCAGCGGAAGGCAGTTATCATCGCCGAATGTTTCGCTAACGTTCGCCGTAGGTACATGCCTAACGGGTTGTTGTGCTTCACTCGAGTTTCTTCACGCTTGTTACGAAATCTTCAGCACCGACAAAGATATGGTCAGACACGTACCAAAAAGAGCAAAGAAACTGAACATTCTGGCATCATACTTAATTGCTTTAACCTGGCAGTTGCTGGGGTATTTCGCCACCCACCGTTTGCTGGGCCGGGGGGGGGGCGTTAAACGCCCCCAGCCGATAACTCGAGAACCAATAGGCGCAGCGAAACGCACGAGGCGGCAAACGAAAGAACGCGACGAGACGCTTCAGATGAGTACTTTAAAGTTTTTGAGGTCACAGGTCGGATCAAGGTCAGTTCAAACACCTGAAATCGGGCTTTCAGTAGCATGGATTTCAGGACTTCGCAATGGGCGCCTCTCGTCATAAACTCTGTTAAAACGGTGCACAATCCATCATATAAGGCCTACAAGAGTGTCAGCTCCATGTAGGGGTCAATCAAGCATAGGTCAGGGTCAAGGTCAGGTCAACCGGGTAGGCACATATCCCCGAAAATCAAATTTATCATAGACGTATGTGTACGTGTTTGGCTCAAAAACCTCAACTTAAGAAATGCATGCACCTATCATGGTCGTGAAGTAGTCACGAGAAATTGCCAAGATTCAGTTCAAGATTTTGGAAAATGCGGAACGATAATCAATAATCGAAGATAGCCATTTGATTGTTCATGGTATTGGCAGTCTAATGGCGTTTACGGCATGTCTGTATGTCTGGCGAAAAAAGTGGGGGCGTTTAACGCCCCCCCCCCAGCAACTCGCGGGTTAAGGGGTACTAATTGAATGAAAATGACGGAAGTGTTTGGTAAGCAGACGAGGAATGGATGACGAAAGGTATGTGAGGGAAGGGCGAAAGGCGACGAGACGTGGAAAAGGACTACAAAAGGAGCGATTAGAAGAAAGCATAACTAATATCTCGCATTGCAATAGTTTCCTCACTGCGTTTCAATAACCCGACTGACATCCTATCAAACACCGGTCCTGTCGGGCACACAAAAAGCCGCGACCGGAGCCGGCTACCTCAATCGAAGTAGTCAGTCGAAGTCGACACGATTACGTTTTGGCCACATTAGTCTTGGCGGGGTGTCCGTCATCCCACCCCGCCCTAATCCCTCCATCCCCCGGTAGGCACCACGGTCCGGCTCTGACCCATGCCGCTGGCCTGTCCCTCCTGACGACTGGGGTCCCGTCTCCGTGACCCCTGGGGTCGGGTCGGGAGGACCGGCGGGTCAGGCTGGCGTCCCGCCTCGCCCGGGCGGTGCGTTCCTAGGGGAGGGTGTCGCGGGGAAGGGGGGGGCGAGAGGGCAGGGTTCACCCCAACAGGCGCGATAAGGAAGACGGCACCCTCACTCGTCTTGAAGAGCCGGCAGACGACGGGCCTGTCTGCCGGTCCTTCATACTCCACGTCTGAGGGCTCCTGGACCAACGAGTCTCCAGCTGAATATCCGAGGTGAGTCTAACCAATCAGACTAGTCAATTGAGAGGGGAAGTGATCAAATAAAACATTGATAGCTTGTTTTCATAAGCGGCATGTCCTATAGAACTTAGCTATTATGTAGAAAATATGTTTTAGGCGGTGTAAAGACGTTTATTTGCCTACAACACTTGGTCGGGCCGGCCAATGTCATGAGCCTCCTTTTAAAGTGCTGTATAGCATTATGAAGAAAATAAGCATGTTTCTGGTCCTCCATTGATGTAAAACATTGAACAACCAGCCCCTCACATTTACTATTTAGTAGGCATAAATCTGTCATACGCAGCCAGCGTATCGGGCCGTTCGGCAGGCAGCTCTAACTCGCCCTCTGTCCGCCAGATGGATCTGAAGTGGTGGGAGTGGATACTGCTGGCGCTAGCGACGCTGATCCCGTCTCTGCACTATCGGATGATCCTGGCGACCGTGCCTCCATTTCCGTGCTGTACGTCAATCGGTGCGGACCCTCACTCGTGGTGGTGGCAGCTGTTCGGCTACGCCTGCCCCGCGTATGTCTCGCCTGAGGATGACTACCGGTGGTCAAACGAGCACGAATCCGTCAGCAAGTTCATTTGGTCGCTGCCGACAAAGTTTAAAGCCATCTGTCCATTTGGGTGGCGTCGTCAAAACGACATATGCTGCAGCATGCACGCAGGATAAGAATGCTACACTAGTTTGTCCTGTCAATACTGACCGGCTGTGCATTTCGGCTAAAAGTGATTACATCGCCAATGATCACGATAACGAAGGCAGTTGATTTGGACTGAGGGTCGTGGGATGCCCTGATGTGTCGACTGAGGGATACCCTTATGTAGAGCGACCACGTCAGTGCGCGTATTCAGCGCAGAAACTAATCAGTGAGGTCAATGTAACGGCTGAGCACGGTAAAAGGGAGACAAAACCAGCCCGGGAATGCTGGTTTTGGCCGTAGTGATCCTGAACTCTGGCTGCATTTGTAGGTATAGCCGCTCGCCGTTTTTGTGTGTGCTTGTATTTTGTTTGTTTTCTACGGACGACGATGCATCTAGATGTGTTGTTCCCTCTCGCTCCCATCGCGCTTTCATGAAGTAGTGTTTCATAGATGGTTGTGTTTTTTTTTCTCATGTGCTTTGGTTAGTTTCCTGCACTACTATGTATAATACGACCATGTGTATCCAGTGCAGTGGTAAGTTTCTTCCAGTTTACAGATCGTTTCTTTACTCAGTTCGCTCTCAGTAACCGTCTACAGTGTGTTGTAGAGCCTGTCCGTGGCCGTGCTTTTGTCCACGCTTTGTGTATGATTTTAGCATTAGAGTCATTGTAACCGTGTTCCATTTCGTGTGCCCTTGTGAGGCCTGGTAGATATTTGTAGGGAAGTAGGTAATAGTGTCATGCCTAAAAATAAGATTCCTTTCCTACCGATAATACCGACTAGTGAGCTCATCTTCCGGGTAATCTGTTGAGTGTAGACTGTACCAGTGTACCAGTGTACCTAGAAAGTGTATGGGAAGAACTGCGTAATGAGCATAAGCACTAATTTCTGGTGGTGGCCGTAGAAACTATACTAAGGTGATGGGTTTACTTACAAAACATGTGCTTTTGTCATTTATAGAATACAGAGTGGCTGGGTGGATGCTGACATGTAGCAAACGTGAGGAAATGTGTGGCAACCTTGTATCAAGTAGGATGGCAGGGTGTTTGATGTAGTGCTGGTTTGTTTAGAGCGCTTTTTCACGCCTGTGTGGGCCGAATTGGCGTGTTTGAGACTGTGGTCCATTTTACAAACTTATGGGAGTAAATTTGACTTGTGAGCTTATCATCTTGCATGAGCTGATGTGCGCTGATTGGGACGATACTTTCCTGGTGGAGGGCGATACTATCCCGGTGTTTTGGGCGATATTAACCTGTGGAAGGTTCCCGTTTAGTGGGGAGATAATAAGTAGATAGCTACTAACACTGTGTGGGGAGATAAGGGATACTAACCAATGTGTGGTACTTTGCCAGGCAATGTGACGGCTTTGAAGTTTGTACCTACATCGCAAGTTCGGAACATACGGGTAGATCCAGCGGTAGTCAATGCAGCATTACACTGTAGTGGACACATTACTGCACTGTGAGCAATGTACAAAGTGCCCTTAGGAATGTTGCTTTCTATTTATGAATTTGTGTATTGTGTTACTTCGCTTATGCTTATTATGAGTGTTTGTAAGGCATGCTTTTGCGGGACATGTAGAAAAGCATTCATGCACAATGCCTCATCAAGGGTCATTATGAGCTGCTTATGTCTGGTCATGCATTGTCTTTGAGTGTGCACTGCAATGTATGATCTCTACAAGGCGAAACAGTGTCAGGAAGGTCACACGTAATTTACTCAATACTCCATCGCAAGTAGCATTTCAATCGCCTGCATTCAGTGGCCTTTTAACCGGTGTGCCCTTCGTGTCACTTCCATTCCCATTGTTATATTGTATAGCAGACTTCGAATCGATGAGCGCCATAGAAATAAAGACACTGATAAGCGCATTCTGCTATCATCAGCTGGCTATTGCATTATTCTCCAATTTGTCATCTAGCTTTGCCAATAAAAATAACTTTGGGTGATAGTTTCTCTTTCTGAGATGCACATAAGCAGTGGCTCAGCGTGCACAAGTCTGCGGCATCGGGAATAAATAAATGCGGACTGATTGACAAAGAGCAGTTTATCCGTGCCGGCATCCATAACTCAGGAGGACCTTTCCACTGAGGCCGGCTACTGGCGTTGTTAGCCTAATTGACCAGCGCGGAGGCTAAAAGACGCCCACGGCGGGCGCTGCGGGAAGTCGAAGGGTAAGCGGATTAGCCCCGCCGCGCCCACACGTGCACGTGAGACACGTGTGCAGCACGGACCACGTGGCTGATGAAGGCGGCGGCACGATTTGCTAACAAATTAAACAAAGCGTCTCACACGATAGGTGGAAAAATAGGAATGGAGCTATGAACGTAAAGGCGTCGTATCACTTTAGCAGCACCTTTATTTATCCCAACAAACGCGCAATGACACGATCATTAACTTTTCTGGAAGCGTTTCATTCCCATTCATGCTCACTAGTCAAAGACGCTCATAGAGGCAAGCACACGCTGCCGACGTCTCTATAAGGAAGTCAAATGGTGCCAAGGCACGAACTACATACATAAATACAGTTTAAACCATAACGAGCGTCGTGCGTCAAACAGCATAGGACATTTAAAGAAATGTCGCCATGCCGCAACCGTCGCTAAACTTAGACATGGCATGAACAATCGTCTGTTCATAAGGTGGCGCCTCGTCGCGTGTTCCTTATGTTTCAAAGGGAATCAGGATCAAGGCTGTACGCAAATAACTACTTTAAAAACCTATTGAAATAGATATATGCAGCTTCCAGAAGTATGAAGCTGGGAAGAAGCTCAACCACGCATAAATATATGGCCACAATATTACGCTATCGGAGGACTCGTATGATTGTGGGAGCAGATGAGCACCTGAGCTACCAAAAAGCTGCTGCTCGTTGCATAAGTACCAATGCTTAGGCCCGCAATCCTTGCAACCATGGCCACTGGTACTTACTTGGTCTCGATTGCCTCTATCACAACACTTGCAATAAGGTTGCCGCCACAAAAACTGTTTAAAATTTTTGGTGGCAATGTCTGTCACACTTCTCACTATAATCCTGCAACCATACGGACGCTAAAAACGAAACACTCCTGTCTTTTCGTCACGTCCTCTGCTCCCCTGTAAGGCATCCCTTGTCCCATCAGCGGCTGTTAGCTGCCATTGGCTTCACCCTGAGCCCGTCCCTTGCGACCGTCTCTCTCAAAACGAGCCGTTTAGGGCACGCACGCCGGTGATGGCACTCCACAGTTCGATGACGAACTCATCTGTGAAGCCGAACGCCTCCAGCTCCGAGTTGTCCAGCGCCTCGGCAAACTGCTCCGGACTGCGCTTGTTCTCCCCGAGCTCCCAGATCTGGGCGGCTGTGGAGATGAGAGGGGCGGGGTTTAGGCTCAGTCACACTCGTTAGGGTGTTGTTGATGGTGTAACTCATTCAAAAAGCAATGTCACACTTAAAAATTCACATAAAAACTAGCCAGAGATTTTAAAATGTCTGATCATGCCACGCTATCATTTGTTCGGTATTTTCTTTGATTACTTTGAGTATGCGTTATACTTTTATTTAAAGCCAGCTTTAAATAATCATGTAGACTATAGAGTGAGAGTGACCAGTGAGTAGGTGTTTTACCAAGTTCTCCGTCGCTGATTCCCAGGAAGCCGTCCAGGAGTTCGTTGATCTTGTCTGTGCCGGCCTCCGTCAGGTCGGTCGGCTGAAAAATAAAAACAGACCATATGGTAAGGACTGAACAGACCTTGCGGTCCCATAGGCGCATGCCACAGCTGCCAGCATGCCGCAAGGTGCACGCGAGCAACACATTAGAGGTGAAAACAAAACAAGCAGGGATCGAGTTGGCGTGAACAACGGTAGAGCACGTGACTCATAAATTACTGCTGATTTTTTACGGCTGGGTGACTGACTTTGTTGGGCAGCCATGATAAAGAGTAATCATATTCTCAAAAAAACAAGCAATGTTATTGGTCAGTCTTGCGATTACTATCATAAACAAGAGGAAAAATGGTCAATTCAACAATTAATTTAGAAATACATTAGACACTAAATATTCGGGATTTCTCGCTCATAAGGCAGAAGTATCCACGCTTTCGCAGCGTCGCACCACCACACACGACCGTCCAGTCACACATGAGTGATCACAGACGCCGGTAAATCCTTCTCGGCGCCCATTTCTACGAGCGAGGGCCTAATGCGGGCGTAGGCACGCACCCGAGCCGACCGTTCCCCTCCGCTGCACCCGCACACCCCGACCAGGCTAGGCGGCGGGTCAGGGCGCCCATTAGCCCGCCGAGCCCGGCATGCGGCGCCTGGCTGACCCCAGTGTGGGCACACTAACTGACCGAGCGGCAGACGGACAGATGGGTAGAGGGAAGGCCTGTACTCAGTACTTACTGCCTGCTCCACCACTGCTGGTCCGTTGGCCCGGAATCGTAGTGTCGCCTTCCCCGAGCCGTACTGAGGAGCTTTGCTGCCCGACTTCGGGCCGGACCGGGGGCCGATGTTGGCTGAAATGGTCAAAGTATGAGTGAGAAAACTGGCACATTAAGCAAATGGAATGGTGCATGTATTGCAAAATTGTTTAGGCACATGGGCCATAAACTACAACGAAAAAAACTTAGCAAAGCATTTTCAAGCAAAAAGTATGAATGCATGAGCGTCCTAGCGTCAACCGGCTTTACAATAACAGCGTCCCCAAATTCGACCACGAAGCACCATGACGGCCGACAGCTCTCAATAATCATTTTCGATGGTTACATTCCTGTAAATCGCAATGACTAGGACAGGACTCATTTCAGTGCAATTTGTAGTCTGTACAGCTCTCATTCTTTCCACCACACCACGTCACGTCTGACGTCACTCACCGAATCCTGCCGTGAGTGGCTCCACGGCCCTGAGTGTGAAGGTGGTGCCCACGGGAATCTCCTTCAGCATCCTGGCCACGTCAAAGTGTCGGCAGCCCACCAGACTGACGTCATCAATTCTCTCCACGTGATCCCCGACCTGCCGAACGGACATGGGGGGGGGGGCAAGTGTGAGTAGATGCGGCAGTTTTAGTCAGAAGCAAGGCACCATACGACAAGACGCCGCTGACATGTGAAGGGTATTCATGTCTAGCTAGCCATGGAATAACATGACGAAAAACAAATATACCGATATACGATTATAGCAGAAGCGCTTATCGGATCAGCAAATATTGCAATAATATCAATTGCAAATAAATTAGATATCACACATCCCCGTAGGCCGTGTCTAATCTTTTTAAGCGTGTGCCCATCACCTTGCTGACATAATGGTCCCATGTGGCTTACATACACCTGACCAATGACCAGCCTACAACCTCCCCCCCCCCCCACACACACACACACGCTCCGCTCCGCGCCACGGCGCACCCAGGGGTAGTTATTCGTGTTCACAGTTCCGATACGACCCTGTGCCCCGTACAGACGATAGTACTGACCGAGGGTACACGATAAGGACACGTCTGACGCCTCCTCGCTCTGTGGTAGATATCGTATCTCCCTCCCCCGATCTCAGGCTTTACAGGAAGGACAGAGGGGCCGGGGTGACGTGAGCTTTCCGAGAAGCGATTTGAGCTAATCGAAAATAAACGGGGCTGAGAAGTGTAGATACTAGATGTGGAATGTGATTCGCCAAAAGTGGTTGATTGAAGGCACCTTCCTTTTCAGCAGATTGCTGCTTATCTCTCCCCACCCTGATGTCACCTATCTTGTCAGTGCCCCTCCCATATCCCATCTCGATGTTAACTACCCACTACCCACCCTGCCCCACTTGCACAATTCCCCACATTGATGTGACCTAACCGGTTTGCCCCTCCCTCCCAACCTTGATGTGACCTATCTGGTCAGCCCCTTCCACATCCCGCCTTAATGGGACCTATCCAGTATCCAATCTGTCCCATTTATTTCTCTACCTTGATGTGGCCTATCCGGTCTATCACGCTGTCCTCCTTGATGCGCTTGATGAAGGCGTAGCCGGCCCCGTTGTCGGTGATGGTCAGACCCAGGGCGTCCTCGGTCTTGGTGATTTCCACCTCTTTCGCCTGACCTGGCCGGGTAAACAGTATTCGGTCAGCCATCACGGACGCAATACCGTGTGGAAGGATAGCTATTATAAGGATTGTGGGCAATTAACTAACTATTATAAAACGGGACCAATTATCCACTTTTCTTTTATATAAAGGACTTAAGTGTTAAGATGAATGCATAAAAAGTTAACATGACAAAAAGAACCGAGACATTACTCGTATGTTAGAAACTGAAATTCGGTCGATACTCTCGCGCGATAGGTCGCTTAACCCTCGCCGGACCTATTGGTTTTCTACATACGCGCCGGCCGAGGGGGGGGGGGCGGGTACGACCCCCCCTCGCCGTTTCGCCCCTGGTGGAGCTAGCGCGTCGCGGAAAAAACGAGCGTGTGCGCCGTTACGAGACGCAGAGATTGGTACCCGATTTTAAGGTCCTAGGTCAACCGGTGACCTCTGAGGTCAGGTCAAGTGCCCCAAGGTACGGTTCAGTTTTTGGTGAATAACTTCACAAAAAACGGCCGCAGAGCGCCGATTTTGGCAGCATCGTGTTTTTCTCGCTCAAGCGCGTCGAATGATATACTTTTTGTCCGGGTCAGGTCAACTTGGGGTGTTGACCTCAGGTCAAGGTCAGGTCAGCACCCCCAGGTCACGAAGTTGGTCGAAAGAGGTCATGTCGCATATCATTCGATTCGGCAGGTCTTCCTGAGTCCATTGGTGGCTTTCCCGACTCGCTAGCTCAATTTGATCAAGAGTTATTGACGAAAAACTAATA